AATATGTGGCAGTGACCTGAGATCTTTTCCAGTGCCCGAATTTTTTGTTAGTTAGCGAGTGCAAAATCGCGTCACAATTCAGGATCTATATTGTCAGCAAATTGTAAAAGTCACCAAATAAGTTCGAATCGAGCTCTTTTCAAGATCTCACTGGCAGTAGAACGTCCATTTCTAGCAAAATTTTGAGGTTTACGCAAAAAGTAGTTACTTTGATCGTCTAGTAGACACAGCCACGCTTGCATGCACACTCCAATGTACTTTCTAGTCCCTTATGGTTAGTGTCTGTTATTTTTCACAAAAGATTCTTTTGACCTCGATTTAATTCATTTGAATAAAGTCGGTCACCTTATATGGTCAATGCCAAGCAGCACCCAGTCAAAGAAAATCGCTTCCTTTGTCAGGTACACAAAGTTCTTCCACATCGCTGTCATATGATAACTTTTCTAGGTTTCCAAATATGGTTAGAATATCAGCATCATCGAAAGGAACACTCATATGCATAATAAGAAAGAAATCTGCTCAAATTTCGCCTTTCATGCCACCCCTCTGAATTTTAAAAAATACCACGATATGTTAGTGAAATCTCAAAACACATTTAGAAATAGTACATAACTTCCTTCTATGTCTAGACGTCTTCAAAGCAATGCAAAACAGTTACAAGTTCTTTGTGATTGTGCTGAAGAAGGAAAATCGATTTGGAAAAAAAAATTGATAAGTGGCCGAAGACTTTGTGACAATCCATTAGAATTATGGACGAATAGTCTGAAGTCGGTCACTAGTTCATTTGGATGCGCCACGCGTTCGCATTATGTTCGGCTTCGCATTGAAGTTTGGAAGCGCGTTAGGCCTGAACATTGGAGTGCTGTTGACAGCCTACAACAAGCTATTGTTTCCCCTCTTTCAGACCAATGTGGACCGGTCCACAATAGAGGAGAAGGCTCATATAGTTCGAGCCGAATTCGGTGCATAGTGGCAGCTACTGGCTACATCCAATAATGGTCCTTGATTAGGGAAATCATCAAGGCCAATTATTGGATGGTACCTCATCCGATAATGATTACCTCATCCGACATTAAAGGCATGCCCCAGGATCACATTGGTGTGGCTCTTGCACACGAATGCGAATGTATTGGTGCGAAGTGGGCCGGCAGTAAAGAAAAAAGGAAAAGAATCCGTCGAAAACGCTTAGGTTAAGGGCTCACTCACCTTCCTAATCGGCTGTGCTAAGGGAATGAGAGACTAAGCGCGGAGAGGAGAGTATGAGGCGAGAGAGCGCTACAGATGAGAGAGCGCCAGACAACAGCCTGATAAGAGAAAAAAGTCTGCAGCTTGGGCAGCTTACTTTGCAAGGCCCAAGCGCTCTTATCGGTCGGTTTCCGTGCACGAGACGCCACATTTGTGATTGTCCTCTAGGGGTCTATACTACAGACCGAAGAGAAGCGTTCACACGACCTCTGCCTGGGTTGTGCCTTTAAATGTAATCCTGAAATAAAAACTGTTTGAACATTGATTTTTTTCCTCTCTGGTCGCGAATATGCTCTAACTGGAGCTATCGGGAGTACCACAACGTTAAATGTGGCGCTTACGGATCAAACACCTTCACCAAGGGTTTCTACTACGCAGAAAAACGCTGTCCTTCTCGAACGGCTGCTCATATCCATTTATATCGCCTTTACTAAGTGACTGATATAGTTAACATCCCCCTTTTTCGATAACGTCCATCCATAAGGGAATTCCAGCCATCATTTGAAGACAAAACTTGCACTTAATTGATGTTTATGAAAGAAAAAGACGGATAACGGAGAGTTTAGAGGAGTTCGGTAGACGATATGTAGGTTCTTTCACGGCAGAGAGCCCTATCTATAAAGCGACAAGTAATTAAAAAATAAAATATTCGGTTGATCCAACCTGTTTGGAATGTGGGCACGCATTTCAATAAAAAAGTTCCAGAGATTGAACATTTTCTATTACGATTGCATGCAATTCTTCGCTGACTGAGCTTGTTGACAGCGTTACCATAAATAACTACAAAAATAACTCGCTACGAATACTAAAATTATTTTAACAAATTATAGGATGACGAGGACTCAGGTTAACTGTAAACAAAATTACTGATGATTAGAGAAGGCTATATTTTCTTGACTTTTTCGGCGAAAATTCGAGGCGGAGCTTTGCTAACTTTAGTCGTCTGAGCTCGTCAACATGTCTTGCTTTCACAGTGTCTGCCAGAGCTCTCCTCTAAACAAACTTGTAGGGGGCTCCACCGCTTCTCTTTGGACATCATTTGCTTCGTTATCCCAACAAAATGGCTGTCATAAGGCATTAGCGGGGTAATGATGCTAAAATGCATTCGTAATGAGGGTCATATTGATGGTAATACGGAAGTCGTAGAAACCGGTTGCGAAAGCTACGGGTTTTTGTTCTCGAAAATCATCCTTAGGTAGTGATTAATAAGCGCGA